TTTAATGAAATGAAAAGTAATGCAGTTCCATTTCCACCCATTAGTGGCATGAAGTAGTAAAAAACCACTTCTAAACTAGTAAGTGCAGCCAAGTTGACAAGCGGAAACGAAATTGCCAGAATTCTATCAGTTACATACTAGTCTTATACCAATTCAAAAATGAGAAAAATGATTACTGGCCCATTTTAGAAACCAAAAAAGTTGAGTTGAATTGAAATACAATTTTAATCAATAAGTAATTGAAACCAATATTAGTCATTTTTGGACTAGTCCGAATTATATTAGGCAATCGTAGGAGCAAACCAATACTTTTTGAATAAAGTGAGTACATTCCATATATACACATGCCGTTATTTAATGGCGCCCAGCGAAATGTGTTAACACCACTTGTGGTAACAACAACTATGCATATGAATAGCAGCAACATAAATGGATTTTTTACATTTCACACCCAACGATTGAAGGGTGAGATGAGACAGAAAGCACTTTAATGGAATTCATTTTTAGCAATTTAACTGTTGCAATATGACAATGAGAGTACATACGTACATAATTATGCTCTGTTCGGCGCTAATGAGCAGTAGGGAAAGACGAATATTTATGGTATGCCATAAAAATTTTAAATTAAATTTCAAATTATATTAATACATTACCGGGAAAAAAAGTTTATAAAATAATGCCACTCAAGCCACAAATGCGATTCTTTATTGTTTACATAATCAAGATGAGGATATAAATATTATCGATTTTTTAGGAACCTGTTCCTCTGTTGTGGTCCTCTACGAGTTAGGAATGGCGAATACCGAAGCAGATATAAACGTAGTTAAGCGAATCAAGAAACAGGCGCTGCGCTGACTAGGCTGTATGGTCCGGTTAGATAAGAATATTCCAGCTTTCGATGCAGTATTCGCCTGAGGAAGTGCTCCACCCCCTTAGAAAGACCAGGTGCTGAAGGACCTGACTGTACTTGGTATTTCCAATTGGCACCAAGCAGCGAAAAGAAAGAATAAATGGCGCAATGTTAGAGGTTCTAGAATTTACCCGCGGTAAGGCATGCCTGTCGTAAGAGGCGACGACAATCCAATAGTTCCCGCGACAGTCCGATCTCTATATTGGAGCGACCGGATTTTTATCCGTCCAAGGACTGTCACTCCCGTGATATTCCCTAAAAAGTACTTTTGCTGTTACTACAACAACAACAACAACATGAAGTTCAGTAAAAAAAACTAACTTAGTTTGGATTCAGCATAAGATTAATTCACGTTCTCCTATTGCAGACGATTTGAGCAATGAAGACGAGGCGCAAGCTCAGCCAAATCTGAGTAAAATTGTATTACAGAAATAAACCAGTTGTCCATCTCTCTTTGAGTAATATTGCAACGGTCAAGAAACACGAACCATAGAGCCAAGCCGATGGAGACTTCTCGAAAGAAAACTGTTACGCCGACTTTCTCGTTAAACTTCAAGCGATCCTCCGGTTAATGTATTTTTTCACCAAACTTCCAAATTTCTCCCCTCCACTATTTTTGTCAAGGGATTAAGTGAGGTAAGGAGTCAGCCAATGCCAGCTCTGGTGCACACACGACGCCAAGCAGAAAGGTATAAACGATTTGCATTGCACTAGCGATGTTGATGAGTACCGCGCGCTGCTTGCCCAGAATTGTACATATATTTAAGATTCGGATAATTTCGCATTTAAACTAATCCTGTTCAGCTCTAAGGTAATAAATTTGTGTACTTCAGCAAGTTTTTTTTACCAAACCCTTGGCTATGCCTGGTACGTTTCATCAAACTTTAGTGGTTTTGTATGGCGTGTGGTCAGTCTGAAGGCCATGGTTCGGTTTTTGTTTCGACTATAATCCAAAATTATAGAAATTAAATCGGCAGGGCGTGCCAAGCCCTCCGAGTGTATTTTTTTTTATGAAACAAAGAAGCTCGGCCGGAAATCTCTTAGCAGTTTTGTATTACAGAATCATCTAAAGAATCTCGGGAGTGCCTAGGGTACTCTAAAATCTTCGGTGGCTATATCTTTCTACCGAACAGAATATATCGGTGCGTAATTATGTTAGCTCGCTTTGAAAAAGCTGGTAGTTTTGAGATCTTCAAAGAAGACTAAAAGCTTGAAGGGATAGTGGATGAAGATGAAATTTCGTGGAAACCATCAATGAAACTGCTCCCTCACGTATGTATCACCATATGTAATTATACGACTCACGATGGTTATGTAAAGCTTATACAAAACTTAGGGTCGTAACTTTAATCACTTATTTAATCAGCAGACTGCTTTCAGAGCATACGTAGGTATATATATCAAGCTAAGTTTTTCATCAAAGTTCATAACGATCTCCTTGATCGAGCTGAAAGGTATTATAATGTTACTTCCTAAACGGGGCAAATCAAATTGGCGATCCTCTGTATTTGTCGTAAAGCGGCAGGTCTCAGATTTTTCCGGATTACTGAGAGTCCCTCGTCTCTCAGCCTAATCAGCTGGTTTGGAGGTTTATCTGAGTTCATCCGCAGAACATATAACCTCTAGGTTTTGTGCTGCAACTTGGGAGTAAAGATCGCCTCTTTTGGGAAAATTTTCTCGACTTTTGCTCAAAATATGCCACATCTAGGTTGCTGCGTTCCAGTTTATCCCAAATGAGGTTATTGACGAGATCAACGCGTCGACGAATGTCGCAAGGGTATACTTTCCTTTATGATGATAGAGAATTTAGAGATGGTGAGCCCGAAACCTCAATCAATGACAATGGAAAAAACTCAATCGCTCGCTTAAAAAACAACAAAGCGGCGTGAGCGGCCTACGTTCAGAACTATTCAAACTTGGAGTGGAGAAGAACCTGGCTGTACTTGGTATTTAACGAAAGAAGAAACTAATGGCACAATGTTGTTAAAGCGGCGTAAGCGGTGTCTACGTCAGTAAAGTAAGTGAGTATACTTTCCTTTATAAACTTAGTTTCCAATTGTGTCGACTACTTCATATAGAGTGGTGTCAATCGGGCAGTATGAAGGCCGCTGATACTTTGGAATTGGAACTGCCCCCAGCTGTTTAACTTATTTGGCTAAGATTGATATACAATAAAAAAAGGATATATTTACAGTCAACGGAATCAGAGTTTGTCTTTGCTGAAATCTAAACAAAGTTGACCTAAACGGTCGTTGAGAAAAGTCGAATCAGATATGCGCTATAAAAAATAGATATTTCTAGATTATTAGTGGTTCTGGCTGAAGTAACAACACACATTAATGCTTCGTTTCAGAAGATTTTGGTTGAGTAATGGTCTGAGTTTACCGGTGTTTAAACAGCGTCCCTCTCTGCTGATTTCAGACTCTCTAGTTTCAGAAGACAGTCTCTACTTATATCAGACCCTCTAGTTTCAGAAGACTGTCGCGCAGTAGCGAATCGTCAACACCAGTAGTTCCCGGACAATCTACTGACAATACTTTCGACATTGGCATCTAACATGGGCATGCCCTAGGCTGTAAGATATCGCTACCCTGGGATCTCAAGTAGATAAAAAATAAGAGCAAAAAGACAATCCCATTGTTATTGTTCTAGTATTTACTGGGGGACTGACGAAAAACACCAAGAGCTAATTTCTATTGCTCAAACGGGAGAGTATATCCCAAAGTACAAAAGAAAACACAGATGAATTGTAGTAAGAGACTATCGCCATTGCGCGTAAAAAAGGCATAGTGGATTTTTTATCAACTCAAAAGAATATTTTTGCCATTTTTATTACCAACAAAAATTGCTTCTAAGCGCAGCTAATTGCTTCCCCACTGAATTGTGGACATGAAATATATCCGTAAGGTGAATTGCAATATGAAATATATATTTATATGCATGTATGTATATACATGTGTCAGGTTGCTAGCAAGAACAAAGTTTTTGCTAAAATTCCTCCAGTAAATAATTAATCAAGCTTTACTTTCACGAAACTGTACGTTATGGACTCAAGTCAAGCCACTGGGTACTCGCTTGTGTGTGTGTGTGTGTATATGTCTCTCGTATCCGTATGAGTTGTTTGAATAACTGTGAACAGTCGGGCAAATAATGCTAATAAGACATAATTTCTCAACAATTTATGTTTATGTTTGTGAACTCAAACACAGAGAGGGAGAGAGAGAGAGAGCGCAGAATAATATTTGGCGAAAATTGTGTTTCCAAGAAGAGTAAGTCAACAGAAGCCTCTTCTTCTTCTTATTCTTATTCAATTGCCGTTTATCATATGAGTACATGGGCGCACTCAGTAGGTCAGTAGCCTGATGTAGCAAGGCAATGCGGCCATCAATTTAAATAATATAACAAATGTAAGAGTAAAAGCGCTTGTACTTGAAATTTAAGACGCTTGTGGCGAAAAGTTTTCGGTTGCGTTGCAATTTTGTATGGCGCCAAAGTGTATTTCACCACCGAAATTTCAAAATTCGGCACATAAGCAGAGTTAGGTGACCACACCGCATACCTGGTTGGTTGTCTGACTCCTCAGTTGGTTGTGCTTTTTGCTTCCTTTGGCTTTGGTGGTGTGCGACGCTACCTCTCTTCACGACTCTCTACCATCATAATAATAAACACCAACATAACTCTTTTGCACCTGAGTCGAGCAAATTTATGTGCAATGCTCATCGACACTCGCAGTTCACAACCCTTCTGTGTTACCACCCTCCGAACTGAAACATTCACTTCTGCTCCTGCCAAATTTGCACCTCCCGGGTGTGCAAGCAAGAAAATTCGGAATTTTTGAAAAAGTTTGTAACTCCGTCAAGCCACAACCACTATTTTAACCCATGCTATGCCACCACAGATTTTTGACCGCTTCCCACACACTTACATACTACACACTTGCACTCGAGATTTTGGTAATGAACAGTAAGCAAAGTAGCTAAAATAAGAAATAAGGCACAACAAACGAAAGGGTGTACCTGAATAATGTTCATCCGAAAGATATTCTCAGCCTTCTTAAGGGGTAAAGCCAATCGAGAGGTTGAAAAATAGATTAATTTTTAAAATTTATTGTAGGAATATGGTAAAAGGATGTGATCTACAAACTATGTCCCTTGGAAGTATGTACGGATTCCGTTTTAACTAATTTTTGATAAAGCGGCAAACTTTTTTTAAAAATCGATTTTCGACTAAAAAAACGCCCCAAATTATTAATTAACATTTAAACGAAAAATGGCTACGTAATTCCAAAAAATATCTGATTTCGAAGAAAACGAGTTAAAAGTTTTCATTGTACTCAGCGCACACTCTGGGGGACTGCAACAAATTAAAAAGTTCAGCTTTTTGAAATATGTTTTTCAGTTTAAAACCAATAGCATGTCATTTCTAGGACCCAAAGATACTCTGTGAGCCAAAAAAGAGAAAATCCAAATTCTTAGAGTGGTTGTACTCTTTAAGAAATATCATGATAGATTACTGCCGCCTGACGCGTCTGGAACGATGCCTTCTTTTTGGTCATTTACCACATATACCAGACCCAGAGAATGAAAATCTGTAATTTTCAACAAAGCAGAATTTCATTACCAATTCGCTGATTCCTATTTATACCCAATACGCCGTGTCATCAGATTACTTTCTCTGAATGCTTGGAAAACAAGGATAGCAAAGGCACGTAAAAGTTTAGAGAATTTTGTAACAAGACCCCAATGGTCTAAGTCTAAGACTTATTCGAGGTTACATCAGGCTATTAGATCCTCACCGCGCCGACATTAGTCACCGAATCAGTGCCTCTTAATTCGCTGAACTATGTAAATGCCGTCGTATATCTTGTACAGCTCATCGCTTCATCACCTGCGGTATTCGTCTTTGGAAAGTTTCAAAAAACATGGACCAACTGGTCTACCCAAGTCCTCACTCTTCAGATTGTCTACATTTCAACCTTTATATTGAAAGAAGACTTTACTTTCCATTTGTCTACTCTGTCCGAAGTGGCACACGTTGGTGAGGGTGATTATGCGTTGGTCCGCTGAAATTGTTGTTGACGTTAATGATGATACCTAGAATGGAAGAAACTATGTATGACTTCAAAGATATGACTTCTATCAGTGACCTGAGCGCTAACTGTTGATTGGTTGGACGTCATCAGATATTTCGTCTTATTCTCGTATACTACCGACCCATTCGCCTAGCTTCCCTATCCAGTATGGGGCAAACAGAAATGACGGCACGGCTATCGTGGCCACTCTTATTGAAGATTCTACTCTGTTTACTTTCTCAGCCGATATTATTTGCTTCAGCATTAATTTGAAGGATTCCATGCCAAAAAGTCACCCGAACTGAAACCTAGCTTGATATTGAAAACTCGATTCTGACGGATCTTTTGGTGTTGCTGAGAAGTACCATACCGAGGAGCCATATCGGTGAATATATGGCCAATTGTAGATTTGCTTGTTCTGAAACTACATTGACAGGGGTCAATCAGTTTGTTGACTCTTGGCTCTAGACTTCCACGCTCGATAAGGATTGTGCAGAGAACAGTAAGGTTATAATCAATGGACATGCTTTCGTCTGACCATATTCGTCACTCGGCTGAGGCCAATTTGTCATTTTTAAGGCGGACAATTGCTGTACGGATTTCCTCATAGTCAGAAAATGGAACGTCTTCTGTTCGATCATCGCCTATTCAGTATTTTTCTGAACGTCAGTTACCTTTCGTTGTTTCTACCGATGTTGAAAAATTTAGAAAGACGTCCAATTATTTCACAGAATTTTCAAGCTTTCTCTTTTGGCTATTTCAACTTCAACTCTTCTTTTCCTGTCTGCAACTGCTGTTCGCTTCCCCCTGCATCTCTTGGTATCTTTCCCATACCGTGTGCCTTGCGGTCAATCGTAACGTTTCTCCACTGCGTTTCTCCGTGTCTGGTCTTCGTTTGCAGTTCTGCGTTGGGAAATTGAGATGCCGTCCCACTTGGTGGAGGGTACACTCAGAGAGCAAGAGTGCAAGTCCAATAGAAAACTACTCACAAAACGAAACGGTCGATCTAGTTGCCAGTTTTTCAATCCGATGGCAGACAAGTAGCTTGGGAATTTTTGTGTGTGTCTGCTAACCATATTTGAGATTCCGACAATTTTGGCTTCGTAACGGTAGCATTGACAATGGCGTTTCTGACGGCGCGTGGAGACAAAATAGCGACAGCAACGATTTACAAATTTATTAATAATTTCATCTGGAACAATTAATGTCAAAATATTTTTAATTGTCTTCTCAAAAAGGTATATTTATATCAAAATAGTTACGTACTGGAAAAAATGTGTTTACTGCAATAGAAAATAAATGAATGACTGGTCTAAAAGAAATCATCGATTCCCCTGAAAATTCTTTGTTAGTTTCGTTACAATCCTATCAATTTGGTTTGCTGGGTTTCATTAACTCTATCACACTTAAATAGGGTTACGAATTTAGAGGTTTTAAAAGGCAAAAGGCATTTTAATACCATAAGAACTGAACATGATTTATTTTACTTAAAAGTAAGGCATTTCTAAAAATAGAACTTTCTACAAAAAGGTTGATTCAAACGTGGACAGGTTTCGTGCTTTAAGAGGAGATTATGTTGCACATAATCGTGCAAGCACTCAAGGAATTGATAAAATTTTAAAGAAATTTGAAGACTGAAAGAGAGAGATATAAATATAGATATACGGTCTGTTTTGCTTGTTCTATCTGAAAAATCGTTACTGTAAGTAAAAGTGTAGCCGAAGACCCGAAGGTGTATAATCGCCGTCCTTGCAAATTGGAACTTTCTTAGAGCACATAACGGCGTAATTTCCATGTGGGCTTACAGTACCATCATATTAAGCTCACACAACAACTGATTTTTTGAAGACAATTTTTTTTTCGCTACAAGGAAAATTTCCCCTCGGAGGACATGTAGAGAAGCAAAATTATCGCAATAGGGGCTCTGAAAACCCTCAAACAATTCAAAAGTCGCCCATTACACCTAACCTACTCATTTGAAGACGACAACGGGGAGATTGTCATTGTCACACAGCATGAGTGAGTATGGGGCTTAATTCGAGAGAAATTTCTCGGCAACGTAATCTCTCGTCTTGGCATATTTGCCATGACTTGAGACCATGTTTAAGCTCTTGAGCCCTAGAAAATCTACCGTTCTTAAGTTTTGGCTGGAATATCGCCCAATAAATGCCGAAAAGCGGTTGAAAATTTCCTCAATGGGATCAAGTTCGCTAGAATGATGTAGTGCTTCACATACAAACTATAATGCCAAGGTTCGAACTTTATAATAAAAAAGGAATTTCATTTATGAAACCGCAAAATGAGTAACCTTGTATTACTGTTATGTATGTGCTTGTATATGTAAAATTATGGTTTTTGAATATTTCAGTAGATTTCGCCATGACGATAAATTATTTTTGGCTTTGCAGTAACTCTTTTACTTCTTCTTGCAATTGATCTTTGACCATTTTACTTTTGTTTCCGTTTTTTTCTTTTAGTTTATATATGTATGTACATATGTATTTCATGCTCTGCACTGAGCTGAACTTGCCACAATAATAAAATATGAATTTGCTGCCGGCAGAATGAAGTAGGTTCACTTACGAGTACACCTGCTCGCTTCACAAAAAATGAGCTTGCAGTGAAGCAGAAGTGCCGACTAATCTTCGATGACAAGCTCCACGCTTAGCCTGATAATTGTTGTTGCGACTAAGGAAAATACAGCGAAATATTATGAAGTTCATGATCTCATCTTTTAGCTCGCCGAAAGTTGTGATTTTCATGCAAATAAGAAAGAAGGTGGCTTGGACATAAGAATTTTGTAAACCACTATCTTCCACGTACTTTTTGTCATGCTGCTTTTACATACCCTTTATCGGGGTTGAATATTATTATAGTTTTTGTATAATCTTTTTTCTAAGTCGGCTACATACCAACCATATGCTCGTCGTTTTTTGTTATTTTGAATACAAAACGTAATTGAAATTGAACTAAAACAAAAATCTCAAAATTGCCTAGCGAATGAAAATCCATTTTAATTAATTCTACAATATAAAGATACATATTTTTTAAAAAGTAAAAATAAAAAAAAAAAATAAATAAATGTGATTATATTATATAATTGGCGCTTTGTAACCGCTGGAGCGATTTTCGGCCGAGCTCGGTTTGTGGTTTTGCATCTTGATGGTTTTTTAAAAAATGGAGGTATCTACAGTTTATACTAAGCCGCCTCCGGATGGCTGATGGTTTTTTTACAAGGAATTTTTATTTCATGTCAGAAACAAACTCGGAGGGGTTGAAATTCCCTTCCGAGAGGCGGGAACAATTAATTTTTTATTTTAAATTTATTTTCTATAACTTTTGGACTAACCACTCGGCTACCGCGGCTGAGATTCATAACAATACTTTTTGAATATTCTTTCCAAAAGCGTCTAGGAGCAGTCCGATATGAAATGTTGTTTCAGACTCTTTTTTGTGTTGGTGAAAATAATAAGAGCTGCAGTGCTTTTCCCTTAGGGCCCTTCTCTAGGGTCGTAAGTTCGGCTCTTCAGAGAAAGAGACACGAAGAATCTCCTACCATCAAATAAACTCTCATGATCCGGCTCCCATGACAATTTACTTGTAGATTATTTCGTTTATTTTCAAACTAGTTTAAACACCAACAACCATGTCAGCTCTCTTTCAAAGTAAAGCTCTCTACTCTACTATTTCATCATCGTCATTTGAACGATGACGAATTCCGATGAGTCGCCAATGAATTTTCCAAGAGATAGGCTTAGGGTTAGTAAGATTGAGCTGCACTACTACACTCTTATTGTTTCCTTGATTTATTTGTTGTTCTGTTCGCAAATTGGAGTAGTCGTTTTAGCCCTTGCCTATTGAAGGCCATTCTGACTTTCTGCGCCAAGTAAACATAACTTGTGACACTCACACTCCACTATCTCCACACATTCCCTCGATTTCCGGCGCTTGTTGTCCTCTATCAGACCTAGATTAAATGCATGTGACACCAAAAGCCCAGACCCAGTTAATAGTCCTACCAGCTGCTTGGAATCCGGCCACTTCATTGCTAGTAAACATTTTTATAAATTTATCATCATATGTTTGGCTTATTTCCAGAGTCTATTCACTTCACAAAACAAGGTTCCTTTTTGCCTTTGCTTTATTCTCCTGAATGAAAGTGGTAGGTCCGAGCGAAAGGTTTTGCGGAAGTATCGCATTCTCCTACCGAGAATTCCCATTACACAGTGTCCAGTTAGTATGACTGTTTTTGCTTTAATGCTGAACCGATCTAGGTGGATTGGATCCCTTGATCTTTTAACGTCCAGCATAGACCAAAGCTGTTTAGCCACATTGCAAGTTCCTCAGCTTGGTGTTGGCTGTGTTGGTGAAACTCAGCTTTATTTTGAGTTTCGTGACGTGCATTGAAATTATTGTGGTTAGAATGACATATGTTCTTGGTAGCTCTGCCTGCCTCTGCCTCTTTCTTGTTTTATTTAAATAAGGAACCCTTTAGTAGACCACAGATGAAGTGAATATAGGTATTGCGGAAGCAGCTAGTGGAGAACGTTGATTGTTTTCATTTGATCACTAGGCTCATACATATCAAAAAGTGGCCTACAACCGATGCTGTAGTAGCCATCTGATGCTCTGCAGACGCCAATGGCATACCGTTCAAGGGAGCAGGGATGAGAAGAAGAGTTCAGGTAATTTGATATCTTATCTGAACCATTAGCAGATTCAGCATCGTATTATCGGTATCAACTTTTACTGAAATATATATATATTTTTTGAACGATTCATCATACTTAACGTCCTATGGCTTAAAAATATTTTTTCCATAGCATTTTTCGTTCATTGAAAGCCCACAATCGTCTGTCTTCTGTGCACCAGAAGTCTAATTCAAAAAACAACTGGGTTCCATACGAACTTCGTTTGCCTTGCTTTTTAATTTTTCACTTTTTGTTTTGCCAAGAATTTTCAATGACTTCGTTAAAATATTTAAAAGCCTTTGTTTATGCAAAAACCTGATTATTTTTAGCAAAAACAAAAAAAAAAAACAAATACAGCAAACAAAGAATGCAATCTACTTAAGCTTTAACAAATGAACAAGTGTATGCTTTCCCTTTTGAATATTAGCACACCCCTTGATTATCACTCACTTCCTCTCTTTCTCTCTCCCTCTCTCACTCTTAATCTTCTCTACTGTCTCTGGCTCGCTTACACGTTGTTTGGCAAGGGGCTTAGCTTGAGTTAATGCCATAGTTTTTTAGGTTACACGAACAAATTTCACCAACAAGTTGTTTATGTGACCAAAGACAAAAGCTGAGCTACAAATAATAATGGCAAAAACAAAAACAACATCAATAAAAACAATAGCAATTTAAGCAACGCACGGAGAAGAGAAAAAAAGTGCAGAAAGTTTGGTAAGCTGCCAAGTGTTTATTACAACGTCATCGTACATGAGTTTGCACTTGTATTTGCTCCTACTCGCCTGCTATATGTATATATATATTATACGTATGCATGTACGAGTATGTGTTAATATTTGTTGTGACAACAGCTAAAGGGTGTGTTTAGCCCCAATGTTTGTTCGTTATTTAGCAAAAGTTAGTAAATTTATTGGGTCATCATTGTCAGCCATGCACTCACCAGGCAGCCAGGCAGCCAGTTAGCCAACCGGTCACTCTTACAATTACAATAGATGCATATGTATGTGTATATGCGTGTATATTCACAGCTTCAAATCTGTGCGAACATGGCAGGCACTACTCTCTCATTACCTTCTCCTGCTTTATTGCGGCAGCCAGAATTGTTGATGTTTTTATTATTGCTTTTCTGACCTCATTGCTTTTAACTCGTCGACTTCTGAAGGCTCAATGATGTAAGTGCATACCAACTACACATGTCATCAATTTTAAATTACTTTAATTTTAGTATTTATAAATGCAAAAGGACTTAGTGGTCTTTATATTGTCAATTATGGATTCTATATTTTCGGTTTGCCTCATAGGGTAGAGGACTAGTGAAATTTAAATGATTTTAGCGGGATTCATGCAGAAAGTTTCTGTGAGGACCATAAAAGATATTTTAGTGATGACTTTTAAAGTGTCCAATTTAATTATCACACTTTTGACGTTCACGGAAAATTCGAAACAAATTGGGAAATATTGGAAACTTTACTTCAAAATATTGTGTCTTCAAAAGAAATGTCACGAAACTGAGGCAAAATTTATGTAGTGAGTTCCATGATACCAACTGTCTTATAGAATTTCACTGCGAAAATTTATTCGACACTGAACGTATTTGCTCAAAAAT